CTCCCCTGGGCTCTCCCTGCTCTGGCCACACCGGCCCCCACACTGTTCCTCAGACATGCCAGGCAAGCCCCACCTCAGGGCCTTTGCACTTGTTCTCTCATGCTGAAATGCTTTTACCCCACATGTCCCCCCGGCTCTCACCCTTCCTTCCTTCAGGCCCTTGCTCAGCTAGGCACCCCCTGACCACCCTAATAATAACAACCCCCACCCCCACCCCAGACCCTGCTTCATTTTCCTCAAGGCACCTAATGTGTCTTCCCCATGAGAACATCAGGGCCCAGGGGCAGGGATCTTTGTTCACTAATGTGGCGCCGGAGCCTAGAAGGTGCCTGGCACACTGTAGGAGCTCCATTATGTTGAATGAATGAATGAATGAATGAATGAATGAGATGAAGGTGAGGAACAGCAGTGCACCAGATCACACAGGCTGAGGCTAAGTTACGGGTTTGGGTGCCACGGAGAGTTACACCTGACGGGGGTGGGCAGGGTTAGATGTGTGCTTCTGAAAGAGCCCTCGGAATGGGATGGGGCAGGGACGTGGGGGCGGCGGGGGGGTTATGAGGAAGAAGGATGAGCCGGATTGGAGGCAAGTTCAAAGGTGGACTGGCTGGCACATGAGGCCGACAGGCTGCGGGAGTTAGGGGCCCAGGGGTGGGCCGATGCCCAGATGTTCTGCGGGTCAGGTGGAGGCACGGGAATTGAACCCAGGGGGATGGTTGGCCTGGAATCAGAATCCTAGTATCTGGCATGCTCCTGGGCAGGTGCCGTGACCTTGGCTGGGGCGTGGCTAGCCTCACAGTGTGGGAGAGTAAGGCCCTGGGAACAGGGAACTCACTCAGCTTCCCTCATCAGCAAGCCAGACTAGTGACAGCTTTAAGGAGGAGTCAGCCGGGTCCCCAGATGCACTTCCTCTCCCTACAGCCCCAGGCTGTGGGCTTTCTGGTGGCAGAGTAGAGAGGCGTGTGCGCCCCAGAGAAGTAGGGGGCTGGGGGCTCGGACTCCTGGGCTCCTGCCTGGCTGGCTCCTCAGGGCTTGGCTCACCCCCTCCTGACCCATAAACACTGTGACCTGCCCTGTAGGGCGTGGCAGGACTCGAGCAGGCCCTGGAAGGCCAAGGTACTTTGAGCACTGGCCTCAGCTGCTGCCTCAGCCACCTTGCTAATTAATTAATTGCATGAATCACAGTGCCCACCCCCACAGCGGACATCCAGGAGCCGGTTTGGGGAGGATGGTGAGCAGCAGCAGCTAGGATATGTGGCTCCCTGGCCGTGCCCAGGATTTCTGCACCTGCCTCCCTGTCTCCTCCAATCATCTCTCAGATGGCGGTTATCCCGCCCTTGCCTGGGCTGAGATTTCCCTGCCCTTCTGCAGGGGCTCGACCACCCTGAAGGCCTCGCCTGTGTGGTTTGGTATTTCTGGGGGTGAGTCTCTGGGACTGCTCTTCCTGGCTGAGCCCCTAGGACAGAAAGAAGCGCTCCCACACCCAGTTTACACATGCCCCAAATATGTTTCCGGCCAAGAGACTCTGGCCTCCCTCTTGCAGGTCCTGTCACTTCGATCTCCTGTGTCTCTCTCTGCATCTGGTTCCTGAGCCCTGAGTCGGTCCCTATGTGCCTCCAACTCCTAGGGTCTCTGGTCTCTGTCTCCATCCCTCTCAGTCTCTGCTTTCCGTGTCTCTCACATTCTAACAGCTTTATTGGGACATAATTCCCATACCATCCAATCCGCCCACTGGAAGCTCACAGTTCAGTGGCATCAGTATATTCATACACTATATATTTGGTGGCAGTGTATTCACAGATTCGGGCCTCCAGCACACCGCAGCCCATCTTGGAACATTTTCACTCTCCCCAGATCGCCCACATCCTTAGCTGTTCTCATATTCTCTTTCCTCTCTGTCTGACATCTGAGAGCCCAGGCTCACTGGGTCTGGGTCTCCTCATCTCTGGAATCCAGCGCCCTGTACTGACTCCTGGGGTCTCTAATCCTTCGGGGTTTCTGGGGTACATCTCTCAGGGTCTCTGGCCCTGGGACCTCCCTGCCTCCTAGGTCTCCCCATCTCTGCCCATCTCTCCACATCTCTGACATACTGTCCCTATGCCTGGGCCATCTCGTTGGGTCCCCCCCCCCATTTCTCAGCATCGCTGGGACATTAAAAATGTAACAGCGTCCCTGGTGGGGCGGAGGAGCTGGCCAGTGTGCCTAACTCCCTGTCCCTCCTATGTGCGCCACTCCCTGCAGCCCCCACACACTGCTGGCCTTGAGGCTCGCCTGTGCCCTGACCTCCTTGGGTCATGACATCTCCATCACTGATGGCTGGGGGCTTTTGGGCTCCCAGCCCGTCATCAAAGCTCTAAGTCTCTCTCCTTAGGCACTTCTTGCCTTTATCCTGCTGTCTCTGTCCAGCTCCCTCCCCCGCCTTTCTCTGTCCCTTCTCAGTAGCTTTCTGTCCCACCGCTGTGGGCTGTAATTCATTCTTCCCATCTCTCGGTTCCATTCTAGTATTTGTCTCTGACCCCATCCCTAAATTTGTTGCAGATGCACTCTCCATGGGCTTCTGTCCCCATCCCTGTATCTCTATCCTCTCTGTGTATCCCTCCCCCCTTCCCCTCCCCCCTCCCCGCTCCCGCCTGTGAGCAGACCCACCCCCACTTCGCTGCCCAGTCCCCCTTCCCTAACACGAAGAGACAGCAGGCCCGCCATCCCTCCCATCCCCCTCCACTACTGTGGGGCTGCCTGGCTGACAAGGATAAGCAGTGAAAGCTGGGGAAGACCCAGCTGGAGGCCCAGGTGGTGCACCCTCAGTCCGCGAAGGCCCAGGAGGGGGAAGGCTGAGGAGCTAGAGACAGGTAAAGAGAGATGGATGGAAAGGAAAGGGAGAAAGAGCTCTGTGAGAGATGAGAGAGCCAGAGGGGCAGAGAGAGGTGAGAAATGAAGAGGGGAGCGATGGGGGGGGCAGGGAGAGAGGGAGGGAGGCAGAGAGAAAAGCGGGGAGCGTAGGCACAAGGATGAGGGGTCAGGAAAGGGGAAGGCCCCCTCCCCAGGTGCTAAGAGCTTTCACATGGGATCAGCGGGAGCTCTGACTCCTCCCAATGGCCCTGCAGGGAAGGGGTTACTATCTCAGCTTTACAAAGGAGGAAATGGAGGCTCAGAGGCACCCAGTGGAGCAGAGCCAAGAAAGGCTCTGAAGTCTGCAGTCCGGCTTCCTGGGGACTGGCTGTGGACCCTGGGAAAGAGGCTTGCCCTTTTGAAACCTCTGTGTCCCCATCTGCAAAATGGGAACAGGAATAGGATGTGTCTCCCAAGGAGATCTAGAATCCTCCACGAGATCGTGCATCACGTCAAAGCCTGGCTCAAGGTCAGGTGGGTTTTGAGCATTTCCCTGGAGCGGCAGGTTCTGATCTCATCTCCCTATCTCTGACACCAAGGGAGAGGCAGTACCCGGCTCTGAGTAAAGGCTGGGATACAACTCAGAGACATGCTGGGAAAAATAAGGTCAGAGGGGTAAGCAGGGCTCCCCCAAGACACCCCCCCCACCCTCCCCAGCCCCCGCCTACACTTTCTGGGCAAACCCTTGGGAAACTCCAATATCCAGAGTTTCTAGCTGAGAATAAACAGCCCGGTCACCTGCAAGGGGCGGGGCCAGAACCTCCTTCACCTGTTTCCTCCCAGCCCCTCCCTCCTCTGAGAGCTGCGCCCTCCCTCAAGGGGGTTGAGGGGAATAGGAGGGTGCTGGTGGGCAGAGCGGAGGGAGAGGCGGGGGATTAGGGCGGCGGCTCCGCGCGTCCCCCCTCCCGGCCCCCCCTCGCGGCGGCTCCGAGGACAAGGGCGCGACCAGAGGAAAGATAAGGTCCCGAAACCTGGGAGTCCGGAACCGGGAGCCGGGAGAACGCCTACCCCTCCCGCCCGGGTTCAGCTAAAGTGAAACCGGTAAAACTTCCCCAGGGACGTCCCAGCCGACGGCTCACAAGGCAAAGGAAGGGTCCCAGCCCTTGGGACTCAGCCTCTCTTTCGGCCTGGGACACCCCCGACGGAGCTCCAGCTTCCCGACAGAGCCTCTGGTCCATGATTACATCTAGAAGCCAAGAACAGGGTCCTCCGCCCACATTTTATATCTGGATTTCAGAAGACATTCCAACGTTCACAATTAAATCTGAGGCCCACGGGATAGAGCCTCTTCCACCGCTCCCCCACCCCGTTTTACCTGGGACCCAGGAGACAGAGCCCCCTGCTCACAATCTGGAACCAAGTTTGAGCCCTGTCTGCCCCCAATTTGACCAGGACCCAGTACACATAGCCTCTAGCCTTCATTCTGCCTGGGACTCAGGAGACGGAGCCCCCAGCCCCTAATTTTTCTGGAGCCCAGGAGCCAGGCCCCAGCCCCTTGTTTTCTGGGCCCCAAGAATCAGAGCCTTCATCTCCCTGAGGCCCAAGGTTGGAGTCGTTCCCCAGGTCGCCGGAACTCATCCTTGGCCCTCCGAGGGACCCAAAGTCCGAGCTCCCGGCCCCTCTGGGGGACCTGGACATTTGGCCCCCCGCCCTCAATTCTCCCAAGGCCTCAGACGCCCAGCCCTGGGAGAAGGAAAATGGGGATGGTCTTGTCTCCTCATCGCGACCCTCCTCCTGGGGAAGGGGGGGTAAATTCCCCACATGCCTGAGGGGGTAAGCGGAGACGGAACCCTAGATCCGGTTGACAGCTCGGTGCGAGGTGGGGAGGGGGTCGCGAAGACTCGGATTTAACCCTTTTGGTGTTAGAATCTGAGGAAGGGGGAGGGGGTAACCGAGAAGTCCGGTGTAGGCTGGGGAGTTGGGATAAAGAAGGGTGATGGGGGGAGAGGGCTGCAAGAGAGGAAAGGGTCGGAGTCGGTGGGGGCCAGCCAGGGAAAGGGCTCGAGAGAGGAGGCTCGGTGAACCGGGGGTGGAGCGGGGAAGGTGCTCCGATTCGGAAGGTGGGTAAGGGGTTGGGTCCGCGCGGGGGGTGGGCGTCTGCGGTTTCTCACCGGTTTCCCGGAGCAGCAGCAGCAGCAGCGACAGGAGCGGCAGCGTCGGTGACGATCTCGACGGCGGGAGGGCTGCGGCCCGGGCCATGGGGGGGCCCCGGGAGGGACTGGGCCCGGGCGGGGGCCTGCGGGCCACTCCGTGAGCGCCGATCCGCTGGGCGGTCGAGCAGGTGCCTGAGGGGCTCCGGCTCCCGGCCGGTTCCCGCCCGCTCTACTCTCGTGGCTCTGCTTTCGGGGCCGGGCTCTCCCCGCTCGGTGCCCCCGGCCCCAGGCTTGTCTCGGGCAGCTCGGACTCGCTGACGTCACAGGACCCACCCCTTCCCTCCTCCCCCCCGCCCCCCCGCGGAGCCGACCTTGGGCTCCGGCCCCACTGGCTCAAGCTGTCCCGCCCTCTCTGAGATTCCACGCTGGTCCTCCCCAGGATTCTACTCCCGCCCCGCCCAGCACTCTGCACCCGCCCCCTCCCAGGATTCTACACCTGCCGCTCCCGGGGATTCTATCTCGCCCCTCCCCTGGAATTCTATCTCCGCCTCTCCTGGCGTTCAAACACCGCCCCCTTCGCCCTCTAGGAGGCCTCTCGCGCCCCGCCTCCCCCGATCTCCCGGCGGCTCCTTTAAGGTTCTGTCACGCCCCCTCCGAGGCTCATGGCGGTCTCCGCCCCCTGAAACCACGCCCCCGATACGGCCCCGCCCACCCGCTCTCCCGGCAGTGGATCCAGCCTCTTCCCAGGAACTCAGTCCGGCCGGGTCTCAGCCCCGCGCGAAGTTCTAGCCCCGCCCTCTTCGTCATTAGCGGCGGCCTCGTCGTCACACCTGCGTGAGGCACGTGGGTTCTCATAGGCCCGCCCCTCCTGGAGTCCCGCCCCCAGGCTGAGACCACCACCCCCTTCCCCGCCACGAGACTTTCCTAGTTCTTGCCCCCCGCCCAGTATCTGTCTCGGCTAATCTCTGCCTCGGACTCTGGGCGTCGCTGCACCATTCCTGCCCAGATTTCTCTGCCTCTCTCAGTGTCTCTGGCTCTGTGTCTCTCTCTCCTTCGTCCCTTTATGTCTCTAACCCTGGGTCTTTCAGTCCTCACGTCTCGGTGTCGCTTTGTGTTTCTGCTTTGTCTTTCTCTCACCGTTCCTGTGTCACTTGGTCCCCGTGTCTCTCTCCATCCCTTTGATTCTGTCTCTGTCTCTAAGTGTGTCCCTCGGTGTCTGTCGTCTCTGTGTCTCTCTCGATGTCTCTGTTCCTGCCTCGGTTCTCTGTGTCTCTCGCTGCGTGCATCCCCCTGGCCTCTCCCGCATCTGGTCCGCACCTTCTCGTTACCGTGGCCTCCCGCCAGGGGGCGGCACAGACCGGCCCCAGCGCTCCGCTGGCCCTGCGGGGCTGGGCTAGGGTCGGGCCTCCAGGCTCCGCCGGTCCCTCCCCTTGTCCTTGTCCCACTTCTCCTATCTTCCGGGCCTCCTCGCGTCTTTGTGTCTCTAGTTCTGACTCGGCCCCTTTGTCTCTCCCCGGCGGCGCCCGCTCCTCCCCACCCCCACCTACCTCTTCACATTCCTAGGGCTGACCGGGGGAGCTGGAGAGGCCGCCCAGTGTGTTGGGGTGAGGGCGGGAAGCAGGAGGCTGGGGAGGGGGGGATGCCACTGAGCTCCTGGAATCCCTCCGTTCCAGTTCCTCTAGGGCTAGGGTGCCGACCAACTGGGGGCAAATGCTTGAGAGCTTCTTGCCCCAGCAAGAGGACACCCCCCAAGACTTGCCCTCCCCTCCCACTCACCACACACCTGAGCTTTCCCCCCCAAAGGGCAAGATCTCAAGTGGTAGGGATTCTTACTGGCCTGCCTTCAAGTCTTGGTAATGTTACTATTCATAAATGTATTTACTGTGTGCTGGATACACATTTACCTGCACTGTATTATCTCAAATAACCCACACAGGACCCTATGTGATAAGGGGACTGAGGCACAGAGAGATGAAATGACTTGGCCCAACAGAGTTACAGAATGGCAAATCCGGGACTGATGGATCTTAGTTAATTCCTCACAAGAATCCACTGGAGGAGACATTATCATGATCCCCATTTCACTGAAAAGTACACTGAGGGTCATTTGCCCCAAGCCACCCAGCAAGAAAATAGCAAGCAGGGATTTGAACCCAGGCAGTCTGCACTCTTAGCCTTTCTACCCTACGCGTCCTCCAGATAATGTGTATCTCAGGCTTGGCACCAGCCTGGTGTGAGCGCAGCTGGACAAATAGGTGCATAATAGATGTGATCTCTTTGTCCTTCTCTCCCCACTCTGGGGTCAGACTAGATGGCGGAGGATCTCTGGGTTTTGCTTTGCTACTAATTTGCTTTGCAAAATCCTTGCCTCCCCTCTTCCCCCCAACACCACTTTCTCTCTTGAACAAGATGCCCAGTCCTCAGGGAGATTTCTTCTAGGAAGGCCCCGTAGCACCTGCTCTTTTCTGGGCCTGTCAGTGAGTGAGTTCAGCCTTCCTGGCTGTTCTTTGTGGAGCCCAGGAGGGAAGCCCTAGGAGGGTAAGCTGGAGTTTAACGCGCCCTTCACATGAGGAAGGGAACATGCATTAGGCTGAGCACTGCCGTGTTTGTTGATAAATGCCTGGGTGGGTCTCATGCCTGAGGAGTCAGCCTTCAGTGTCAAGCAATCCCATGGCACTTCACTGAAGAGCCATAACCATCCGGAGGTACAGGCACAAGGCCAAAGTCTTCCTGATGAAGCTTTGGAGTTGGTGCCAAGTATTTACCCTGCCTGGCAACCTGTAACTGCTTTTTCTTCTTCCAATAGTCCCCCCACCCTGCCCTCCCCACCAAGTTTTCCTACAAGGAATCCCCTACACTCAGTCCTTATGGTTCAGAATGAGCCTGACCCAGTCCTGGCCAATCAGAGCATTTGATCAATCCCCTGGCCACAGGGTTTGGTTCAGGGATGGGAGTGGGACCCATTCCTGTCCAATGGGAATTAGACCTGAGACTTCAGACTTCCTCTTGAATGAATAGGAAAGGAACACACTTTTTTTTTTTTTTAAGATTTTATTTTTTGGGCGCCTGGGTGGCTCAGATGGTTGAGCGTCTGCTTTTGGCTCAGGTCATGGTCCCGGGGTCCTGGGATCGAGTCCCGCATCGGGCTCCCTGCTCGGCGGGGAGCCTGCTTCTCTCTGCCTCTGCGTCTCTCTCTCTCCCCCTGTGTTTCATGAATAAATAAATAAAATCTTAAAAAAAAAAAAAAAGAATAGCTCATATTAAAGAGTCACAATAATGAACATAGATGAGGATACGCAGCAAATGGGATTTACTGTGTATGACAGCGGTCGTCCACTGCTGGATAAAAATAGCACAGCCACTTTGGCAGAACTGTTTGCCAGTTTCTTTTACTTTTTTAAGATTTATTTTATTTGAGAGAGAGCAAGCAGGAGCACAAGCGCGGGGAGGGGCTGAGGGAGCAGGAGAAGCAGACCCTCCACTGAGCAGGGAGTCCGACACGGGGCTCCATCCCAGGACCCCGAGATCATGACCAGGGCCAAAGGCAGACGCTTAACCATCTGAGCCACCCAGGTGCCCATTTGCCAATTTTTTTTTT